CGATTCTTGTGTTCCAAGAAAAAAAAAAGATTATAGTTCAAGTTTGGAGTTTGGACCTATATTTTGGTATTAGTTGTCTCATTATAATTAAGTATTTTTAGCTAGTAATATACTGATTGAAAGAAATTAATATATACTATCATGATCAAATAATAAATGTATAATTCAAATGCCAACCTCACTACTACTGATTACACTTTTATATTAGTCAAAACCCTACTATTAAAGAGGACAAAAAGAAACGAAGAATTCTCAATTATAATTTCTTGAACAAACATGAAAAGTACGGTCAAAAAAAGAAATGAAAAAAAAAAGTGTAAATATCTATGATTTCTAACAAATTTGCGTATAAAAGATTAGATATAGATTTAAATTTATTTCGTGAGAGAAAGATTGAGTTTTTTTTTTATATTTTATTAAAAAAAGTAAGAATCATTTCATTATCAATGATTAGAAAAAGTGAATTCAGAAATCTAACTAACGACTAACAATATGTAAACTTGATTGAAATTAAACACGATAACTTATAATAATATAAACCCAGTTGACACTAATCATGACAATCTTCAACAACACAAAATTTACAAATCTCGACAAGATAAACAAAAAATTGTCCATATAAAATTCAACCCTAATTTTGTCTTGAATTGTCAATGGTTTGAATCCCGAAATGTTAATTCCTGTCGAGTGTGTCAAAGTTCCCGGCCATCTCTTAAGTCCCTTCTCCTGGACACCGCCATTATCTCCATTGTTGTCCTCTTCTCGAAAGAGCATTGTGAACATATTTATTGCTACACAATTGAAATCGTCTCACCTTAGTTTTCCCACATATATGGTTGTTTTTTCTTTCCTTCTAAGCTCTAGAGCCATTTAATTTTCCTTTCATTAACTAATGGGGCTTGTTGGGATTCTAAAAGGGTTTTTTGACTGTAGAGTTTTGACATTGAGAAAAATGAAAGCTGACCGCAAAAAACAAATGCCACTTTCTGCCCTTTATGAGTTTGACATTCCTTACCTTTCCTCCCTGTTAGCCCTAGAGGGTTCCTACGTCATTGCACGACTTCAATCAATATTAGTTAGACTTTTATTCTTTTTTCAATTGGAAAAGTTCAGTTTACTAGTAAATTTGAAATAGTGTACGAGTCAACAATATTTATATCAATTCTTGAATATTCTATATATTCATAATTCCATTTTCTTAACATATTACTTTAGGTTAGAGTTTTGAAATGTAATCCTTTTTGTTACCACTCATTGCACATTATGAAAAAGCTTGGCTATTTTTTGTTTTTGTTGGATCATCCAAAAAGACAAAAAGAAGAAGAAGTTGTACCCAAAAATCAAGTACAAAATTAGGTTGTATGGTATAATTTCGTGAGCAAATAGGTAAGAAAGGGGTTGGTTGGGTTGGTTCATATTCAAATTGTAGGGTACCCTATTGCCTTAGATTTATGTTGGCCAAAATGGTACTTCATTGACACTTCAAATTTGGTTGGACACTGTAGTTAAATATCAATTCTATTCCTAAATGATAAATAGTAGGCATTACTAATTAATTTGTGTATTTTACATGCAATGTAATAAATTCATCGAGATATTAAAAAATAAGACAAGTTAAAAAATTAAATGAACCCGTTAAGACTTGAGACTAGTCTCTTTTGTCTGCTCAAATTTCTTCCTTTTTGTTCTTCTATAAAAAATTTACCTCAAGTTTGTTTCATCTGCTACTATTTTTGAAAAGGAAATGATGCTTGTTCTATCGTTGTTATTTTTGTTTTTATATTTAGAACATGGAATAGTGTTTTAGTTATTTTTAAATAAAAAAATTATACATCAATCATTGAATAGATATTTAGATGTTATTATATAATTTCGACATCAACGTGTCAACTTGGACAATTTGGTAAAACAATTTTCAACCACCTAGTGCCCTTCGGAAGCCGGAAACGAAAAATTGACAAGCAACTGTTCGAACTTACATTATTTAATGAACGTATAGTTTGATTCATTTTTTTCTAGTTTCCACACTAGCTACAAACCAAAAGTCGGTGCGTAATACTAGAACAGCTGTTCGATTGTTCTCAGGGCGTTTGTGGCCATAATTCATATCAGAAACCCAAATGGATCATCCTTGAATCTTACAGATCCCAAAAAGCTTTTTCTTCGTTCCTCTCTTGAGCTTTTGCTTGATGAGGACGGATCGAAAAGCTTGGAAGGCCCTGGAATTATATGTTTCTTTCTTTGACTTGGTGTTGGGTGGATTGAAAAGCTACCCCTGTTTGCTCATAATTGAAGAAGCTGCAGGGTGTTTAACAAAATGTGTTTCGGTGCTCGATGTTAACCCATTTTGTTGTACATTTTCCCTTAATTTTTTTGACAAGAAAAGTATTATGTTACACTGTAACAGGTATATATCCTGTTTCTTTGACGTGTGCAAGGCAAAAATAAGATTTGTTTGAGTGAACAAAGATAAACAACCTTTTTACTTGCACAAATCAGTTAATCCCAGAGGCCTGATCAGCTGCTTCGACCAAGAAGTAGGTGATCTTCCTGGGATTCCCGAATCTGGGTCAATTACCAAAGACAGGATTCCTACGGAAGCTCTCAGAGCTACTGGTGCATTCATTCTTTTCCCAAAAGAAATTGAATCAGATAAAAAAAAAGGGAAAAAAACCTGCAGCAGTTCAAGGATTTTCAGTTGAAGTGAAAGGTTGTAGTTGGGGATTTTGACCGCAAACAGAACTGATTAATTAAACGTCGTCTATGCATTCGTTAATTATATGGCGGACCGAGTTAGCCTTTTCCAATCCCTGGTTGCTGATTCCTGATAGGCCGGCTTCAATGCTGGTTGAAAACCCCCCGAAAGCGATTCCACCGAGGGTTTTCTAAAAGTACAAGCTTGTGAATAAGTGGCAACATTTCATTCAAGTTCCTTCCAAGGCCATGGTGGTGGTGGTGGTCCATTTCAAGCCCCCCCTCCCAATTCCTTTCAGTCGGATAAAATTGGGAAAACTATTCCATCAGATAATGATGCTGCTTTCCTGCGTTGGGGTTTCAGTAAATCATGCTAATTATACCCTTTGGAAAGTGGCCTCCCCAATTGATATAATCTCCATATCACTTTGCCATATAAAAACTAATATACAGTTTGAAGATTCTGGTCGAGGAACAGAATGAAAAAAAACACTATGACGTTGGAGTGATGCTAAAACACGCAATCTCCATCCATTATCTTAGAATTTAAGTATAATTATTTTGAGTAAATTCTAAAATCAACCTTTAATCAGACATTTTCATGAAAATATCTAAAGGGAATGAAAAATGGTGAGATGAAACCGTCAACGGTTCCAATGTCTGAAGCAGACAGCGATGCAGAAGAACATGTAAGGTCCTGCATCAAAATCTCTCACCTTTCAATGCTGACGACGAAAAAATAATAATAATTCAAACAAGGGCCATTCACTTTAATTGAAAGCCTCAAATGATTTTCATTAAAGCATGAATGGCATGGCAGATTTCTAAACTTCATATATATATTTTTTTATTAAACATGATTAGGAAATAAAATAGAGAATGATTGAAAGTAGGTAAGTGTTACTAAATATTGCAACAGTAAAAAATTTATTAATAATGATAATCGAGACAAATCAAGTGATGTTTTTTGTATAATTCAAGACCCAATCGTATATTCATATATGTGAAAAAACAAAAAAGCAAAATAATCATAACTAAACTTGAAAATTTTCGTTGGCAAACAAAGATGGGTTCTCTCTACATTTATGTGAAAAAAAGAATTTGTCTAATTTTTCAACTTGCACAGCCTTAATTTGCAACATTAAAGCTCATTATTCTTTATCGAATTCGAGATTAAATCATTGGATCGAAGGTCCCTTTATGAATTTTTTATTAATAGTTAAGAATTTTTCTTTTCGGTTGGATTTAATGACAATTAAATTTTCGTTACTTGGTGCGCAACAAAGCTAAAAACTGTGCAAGACTAGTTGTATTGGCCTTGGAAGATATTTGAATGACCTTTTCCACCAAAGAAGTTAAGCAGTCCCCATTCTCTCCATCATCAATCGTTGAATGTTTCCATTTAATTTCGCCTCTAAAATACAAATATATTATAAGTTATTTATATAAAATACTTTTCTATATTGACATATGACAAATAGCGACAGCAATTTGCCCCATAGTTCCAAAAATTAGAAATATAAACATTTGTTTCTCCAGTTATTTTATAAGAGTTTCTAGGCCAATGCATGCATTCAAAGAGCAAGTGCAGACTATAATGGTGGGGTGAAATGCAAGGGATCAATGATGGAGAATTGTTAGATTAATTAACCTTTGTAATTAATTAGATGTTCTTAGATATAACCAAATGTTTAATTTGGTTTCTTTTGTTAATTAGGTTTATTTACACTTAATTTGAACTTGTAGAATTGTTTTGAAGATCTTGATGGTGGGATTTGGATAAGATTTGCTTGAGGTATTGGTTATTAGTTTGGGTTGAAACTTAATTTAGAAAGGACATTCAAGTTAATTGAACAGTGAATCTCTATTTGGCTGATAAGATCATACAAACCTAATTTAGGGTAATTAATTGCAATTAAATACACAACTTTTTGGACCATTTTGTTCTTAATAAGGCCGAACCCCACGAAAATTAAATATTGTGTTCATAAGAATTTCTAAACGTTTAAGCAAGCATTCCCCTCTCGAGGGTTAAAAGCCACAAATTAGGTCTCTCTCAATTCTTCTTCCTTTTTTTTTTTTTTAACTATAATTTCATCATCTTGTAGTCTTACCTTTTTACTTATTTTCAACATGAAAATAAAATAAGGTACAAATTATTTTTTTTACAAAAAAAAGGATGTAAATAGATGGGAAAATTGAAAAAAAATATATTTAACGGTTAGAAAATAAAAATAAATAAATAGTACCACAAGTTGCGCACTTTTTTTTCCTACAGGGGGTTTGGCCATAAACCTGTATAAAAGCCCCATAATATCTGATAAGAAACTAGCAACATTCAAAGAGTTGCAGACTTTGCATAGATATCGTTCATGTCTGTAATACAAGCCATGGATTCCCTGATGCAAACCATGGAACCATTGCCCATGGCCCTTCTTTTCGTTATCCCTTTGTTACTCCTCCTAGGCCTCATCTATCGACTTCGGAGAAAACCATTTCCTCCAGGGCCTAAAGGGTTGCCAATCATCGGAAACATGATGATGATGGATGGAGCGCCAGTTACTCACCGTGGACTCGCGAGGCTTGCTCAGAAATATGGCGGCATATTTCACCTCAAGATGGGGTTCTTGCACATGGTTGCTATATCTAATCCTGAAATGGCTCGCCAGGTTCTCCAGGTTCAGGATAACATTTTTTCTAACAGGCCAGCCACCATAGCCATCAGCTATCTTACGTATGACAGGGCGGACATGGCTTTTGCTCATTACGGACCTTTCTGGAGACAATGCGCAAGCTCTGCGTGATGAAGCTTTTTAGCAGGAAAAGAGCTGAATCATGGGAGTCCGTTAGAGACGAAGTGGAGAGTCTCGTTAAAACTGTTTCAGCCAACACCGGAAGGCAATCAATGTGGGTGAGTTGATCTTTAACTCACAAAGAACATTACTTACAGGGCAGCGTTCGGTTCTAGCTCGCAAGAAGGCCAAGAGGATTTCATCAAGATCTTGCAGGAGTTCTCCAAGCTTTTTGGTGCTTTCAATATTGCGGATTTCATTCCTTGGCTCGTTGGCTGATCCTCAAGGACTCAACACCAGGATGGAGAACGCTCGTTATTCATTGGACAAGTTCATTGACACCATCATCGACGATCACATTCAGAAGAGGAAGCAAAACAACGGCCGTGATGAAGGTGACACGGACATGGTTGATGATTTACTTGCTTTCTACACTGAAGAAGCCAAAGTAAACGAATCAGAGGACCTCCAAAATTCCATCAAACTCACCAAGGACAACATCAAAGCCATTATCATGGTATGTTCCTTTTCTCACATAGACTTTAATTCCACCACACCATCAAAACATGGCAACGTTCCATTTATCGTTTTAGGATTCGAATTTGAATGCAAAATTTTCTTCTTTTTTAAGAAAAAAGAACCATTTGTATTTATGTTGATATTGATATTTATCTGAAATCAATTGATGAATTTGGACATATACGGTTATGAACTGTATCTGTATACCAACCATTTTCACGTCCCTACAAAATAAAGTTCATAATAAATAGGACAGATTGTGAAAATAATCTGTCAACAAATAAAGTTTTTGGTGCTCTTTTCATACACTAAAGATATATAAATCTTGATTTTTTTGTGCAATTTAAACGTTTATAATTAGGATAAAAATTGGACTTGCGTAATTTCCATCAATTTATAGATAAATTTCAGACTCCAACAAATTTACATATTGACATTTTTTTATTGGCAAATTTTCGCTTAATTTTTTTTTTTTAATGTTTGTATTTGAATTTTGTTTGCAGGACGTGATGTTCGGAGGGACGGAGACGGTGGCATCAGCGATCGAGTGGGCGTTGACGGAGCTGATGCGAAGCCCGGAGGATCTGAGGCGAGTCCAACAGGAGCTGGCGGACGTAGTGGGTCTGGACCGCCGAGTCGAAGAATCCGATTTCGACAAACTCACCTTCCTAAAGTGCACCTTGAAAGAAACCCTCCGGCTGCACCCTCCTATCCCGCTGCTCCTCCACGAAACCGCCGAGGATGCCGTGGTAGCAGGCTATCAAATCCCCGCCAAGTCGCGCGTGATGATCAACGCCTGGGCCATCGGCAGAGACAAAAACTCGTGGGAAGATCCCGACACTTTCAAGCCGTCCAGGTTCTTGAAAGAAGGCGTCCCGGACTTTAAAGGCAGCAACTTCGAGTTCATCCCGTTCGGATCGGGTCGAAGGTCGTGTCCGGGCATGCAACTCGGGTTATATGCGCTCGACTTGGCCGTAGCTCATATGCTTCACTGTTTTACGTGGGAATTACCTGATGGGATGAAGCCGAGCGAGCTTGACATGAGTGATGTGTTCGGACTCACCGCACCCCGGGCGACTCGACTCATTGCCATCCCAAAGAAACGCCTGCTCTGTCCACTCTTTTGAAACGAAAAGAAAAAAAATCGAACCATTCGAGTCTTTGCAGCTTATGCAAAAGAAGAAAACAGGGGAATGAAGAAGAAGATGACAAAGGGTGAGTTTACGATTACAAGTGGGATTTTTGGTCTTCTTTTTTCTTATATAAATATATATATATATATATACACCATGGGAAAGGGGCATGCAGGTCTTCAAGAAGAAATAACTGAAGAAGAAAAACGAAAAGAAGTAAATGAGAGAAATTGGATCCTCTCTTTCCATCGTTGATAAGATCACTCTGTTCATTTGAATTGTGTTAAAACTCTGCTCTTCTGTTTTTTTTTTTTCATTTTTTTGCCTTATTTTTTCTTATTTTACAACATTTAATAAAGATTGTGAAAGAACATTTCATTTGGATCAAAGGAAAAGCAAAAGAAAAAGAAAAATAATGTTTCCTACTATTTGTACTAATGGACAAAGTGTATTCTACTTCTGATCTTTCACTCTTGTCTTTGTTTACTTTCAATTGAAGTATAAAGGGAGTCGTAGGCACTCCAACATTTTCCTCTAAACCCTAATAACTATCCCATGAGTCATTCACAATTTTTCATTTGTATATATTTCTTTGGGCTTTCTTGTACTGATATTCCAGTATTAACAGAGCATATCTATCTATTAAAGAAACAATGTACAATGCCATAATCTTAAAAGCATCGGAGGTTGTGCAGGCAGGGGATAATCTTTTTGACTCCCACCCAAAATTTATAAACCAATGGACAAGGCAATGGATGGCAAGGACACGAATAAAATGGTCCTATGTGGGAATCGGCTGTATCCATGGCCAATGCAGAGAGAGAGAGAGAGAGAGAGAGTTGAATTTTAGGACAGAAAGGGGGAGTGACAGAGTGGGGGGACTAATGTGGCCACGTTCTATAATGCAAGCATTTTGATGGTTGGCAAATATCCACATATTTTTCCAGAGAGAGAGAGGATTAATGCTGGGATTTTGGGTGGGGTGAAGAGGACGTTAGGCCTTCAATTCACTTCCTTCCTATGTTATAATAATGACGGGAAAGCACAACGTGGGGCATATAATTATGATAATTCTTGGTTTATGTCTTCAATTTGATATAGAATTTTTTTTTAAATAGGTCTTATGCATAAAGTGTTTTTAATAATAGATCTCTTCATAATTTTAATTATTTTTAATCAAAAGAATTAAAATTTGAACAAAATTAACTCATTTTTTTAGTTTCGTACCTTAACCTGAAACCTATGGGTCAAGCATATTTAGATCTGCGTCTCAAACCGATCCATATTCTTTGAATTTTCCTCGTCAGACTATTTATCTATAAAATATTCCTTATCAAAAAGAAAAACGTTTAATCATTTTGAGCATTTTGGAGTAGTTTTTTATATATAAAAAAACTTTTAAGCGTTTTGAGCATTTTTAAGCATTTTGTAGTAATTTTTTATATATGAAAAAAAACCTTTGAACATTTTGAGTATTTTTTGTCAAATAAGCATATTCGTTAATTATGTTGTTAAATGGAATATGGTGTATCGTTTGAAGTTATTGATCTTATTAAATGAAATTCACTAGTTTTAGTGGTTTTTGAGTATTGCATGATAAATTTTTAAGCATTGCATGATTGACTTTAGATATTGCGTAACTGACTTTGGACATTGTATGATTAGTTTTTAAGCATTATGTAGCTAATTTTTAGGTATTGCGTGACTAATTGATATGGCACTGCGTGACTAATTGATATGGCACTGCGTGACTAATTGGTAGGCAGTGTGTGACTTGTTAGTAAGGCATTGTGTGACTTAAGCATTACTTAAAAATCAATCACACAATACTTATAACCAATGATGTAATGCCTAAAAATTAGTCATGCAGTAATTAAGTCACATAATGCCTAAAAATCCATCTCGCAATACTTAAAAACAAGTATAATTAATTTCAACTCGATTTTATGAATAAACCAATAAACTTAATAACCTAAAACACATTTTTTTTTAATTTTTGCTAAAACATAAAATTGTGTATTTCATAAAAAATAACAAAACTCTATAATTCTCAAAAGCAAGACAAAATATATCTGCCTTACTCACTCCTCTTATGCAAAAATAAAATATATTCCTTTTAAAATATTCCCTAAACAATTTCAACTCAAAATCTCATAAAAAAAATCAAAATTTCCAATAAACATGCTTAATAATTATTCCAATTCAAGACACAACAAAGTCGTGAACCATCATAAAACCCATCAAATATGTTTTAGCTGTTTCTTTTACTTGAGTCTGTCATCTTAACCAATTCGATTCAATTTATTAACACAGTCATCTTTATCGTAGCACACGTTTTGAAGCAAGTCATAATAAAAAAGTATCCAATTATCACATTCATCATATTGTTTGTAATCACCATAGAAGAGCAAAATTGTTGTTTATTGCCCTTAAGAACCCCAAGATCCACCATTCAAAAAAATAAAATAAAATAAGAAAGAGTTTGATGTCATCTCTGTTTTTTGGATGACGAGATAGATAGTATTTGATCAGAAAGAGAAATCGATATTTAATTTTGAAAGGATTGAAAAAATTGAAATAATTTTAATTTGTCTGAAATTATTTAAAGGATATAATTGTTAATTCATATCAAAAATTTACTAATTATCTCTCACAATTTCCTCTTTGATATATCCCATCAAAAGATTTATATATATATATATATATATATTTGCTTCTTTTTTTTGCTGCCATATTCGAATCTTCAATTTTACTAAGAATAGAGAGAAATAATTTCAATGTTGACCATTTTCAGAATCTCTCTTACTATGCCTATAATTTGTAATTTTGGCAACTACTCCCTTGATTTCCCGATTATTGATAATCTCGTACGTCTAAAACATAAAACATATTTTTAGAAAGACAAACTTTTTTACTGAGTCGTAAATTTATATTATTTCTAATTTTAATATTGTAACTCTCTTTTAATTATTTCAATACAACACCTCGCATTACTTTTAATAAAAAAAAATACCAAACATGTGATATGGGAGAAACATGCCGACCAGAACTCCAAGACCACCAAAGCAGAACAGATTCAGGATGAGTTTATCCCTGTACGAATACGATTTTAATTAATGATCTAATATAAAGATTCGGGTTTAAGTATTATTGGTTAATTAATCTTTCAAGTCTAAATCACATTGTTTGATCCAAATCTAAATATCATTAATTTAATAATTTTTTTAGTTTAAATCACATGACTTTAGAAGCTTAAATTTTAACTATTAGTAATAATTGATTTAGATTTTTATATAATTTATAATTTTATATAAATAAAAGTGTCTAGAGCTTTCAAACAGTTCAACAAGGGAACACTGCAAGCCTGTCAGATGAGATGTCATGTTTAATAAGTATGACAAGACCAATCATTATTTTCTATCTCATGCAGTTGGGTGGGTCTCTAAAAGGAGCAAGAGAATGAAACATGGCAGTTTGGAACTGGAACAAACTGTCTAGAAACCTCCATACAGATGGACCATTGCTCATTCCAAATCACACACAAAAATTGTTTCTTCCTTTCATAATGTAATACTTACAAGGACAAAGGGAGATGGGAGAAATTGTGGCAGAGAGATGAAAATATAGAAGGTGAGGGCTAGATCATATGGTTAGGCAGGGCTGGAACACTTATTGGGTAAACCTCTGAATGTGGTATTTGTCAAGACTTAAAACTACTTGGACTTTAGTTCTTGTGGAAGAACCGAAGGAGATGCTAGAGGCTTCTAAATTACAGGCAGTGAACCCAGAATTTGACTACCATTTACAAGGGGAAATGACACTCGAGCACAAAGGGTGAGCGAGTTGTAGCTGGATATAAGACAAAAAAGAGACGAAATTATAGCTGGATTTTGGCGTAAATTGCAATTTCTCACACCTCTGTTTGTAGCAATATCTCTCACCTGTTCCATTTAAAACAAAGATTGGGTGAATAGATCCTTCTATTTAACGGAATCAATCAATGCATAATAAAGCAATGGAAATGAGGGGGCAAAAAAGAAAAATCTGTGTTGACAAACCAACAACTCTTCCATCCAGGGATCCTGGAGATATCAAAGATTGACATTGGTGTCCTAGTAGGAGTATATATAGATATCCTTTTTCCTGTTCTCAGTTCTTCAGGTTTCTTTCTTTCATGCCCTCTCATCTCTCAAGCATGCAAGAGTACAGGCTTAGATTACAAGGAAAAGAAAGACTGAATGAGGAATTGGAAGCAGCTAGTCATATGATTGAACTTTTCTTTCATTTCTTCTTCAAAAATTTTAAACATACAACAGCTTCAGCATATTATTTTACTTTGTTATACAAGAAGAGAGCTATAAGGCTCAAACTTGACGTCCCTACCCAAACCCACTCACCCATCCTAATCACTTGAGCTAAGCTAAGCGAAGTCCAAGTGGTACAAGCAATAGCTTCACAAAAAAATGAGCTATTTTCGATTTAAAAAGAAGAAAAAAGGAGAGCTACTTCTTTCCCCCAGAAGGGGTTATGCTGACATTACATGTTTACATTAGCATACGAACTATAGCTAGACCAACAGCAGATATGGAAACAAGTGTCCCTATGCAGTATTTTATCAAGTCATATTTTGCAGCTTCCAATTGAGCCTTTAATGCATGGATTTCCTGAAAATTGTAGAATAGGAAGTAGAAAGGAACAAATGTCATCAGTTCAATCAATTAAAGCAAACGATTTCTCATTCATTTGTAATACTAACCCGATCAAGTTTGTTAGTGAGGTTAGATGTTTCAGCAGTCTGATTTGTTAGCTCATCTCGTATTCTCCTGCACTTGTCATAAAACCACAAAGATTGTTTCAGGGGGATTTAATGGGAACAGAAATGCATGGCAAGCCTGGAAAATAAGAAAGTGCATTCTTCACTTTCTTACCCTCTTTCAAGATTCAAATCCAATCGTTGCCCTGCAGTGACTTTGTCAATTTCATATCTGCATTACAACCAATTTCTCTATAACGGGGATGACCATAACAGAAAATAGATACTCAAATGGTAACAGGCAAATATGAATGAATGGTAACTCAAAAACCAGACCTTAATTCGCTGCGCATCTTCTCTATATCATTCCGAAGTTTTTCAGTCTCATGTTGCAGTAAAGAAAAATGGTTCTCCTGCATAACTTATTGTTCAGAAAAATAACCCATTTGAACAGACAGAGGAATGAAATCAGATGCAATCCTTGGTCACCATAATGAGAATTGTTTTAAATACTCAAAAATTGAGATTGCAATTTTGTTCCTTTCTCTCCAAAAATTAGTTCTCCAGAGATTTTGGATAAATAACAACAAAGGAAAGACTGATAATGATGATAGTTGAAATTTGTTTGAGTAGAGCAGCAGGAAGAGGATGATAAACAGAAACAACTGAAACTCTCCCGTTTCTGCCAGAACAGAGCATCAACTGACTAAAATTTGAAATCTGGCAAAAATCCTTGGTATGGCATTGTTCTATTCATGGTGATTCAAAATGAAGGGGAAGATAAATATGCATAACTCTTTATTAATAAACCTACTGAAACAATTTCGTGCTACCTAAAAATAAGCACCATAGTAAAACGGTGGTTTCTTGCAATTCTGAGACCATAGACCATCATTCATTGTCTCCCCTATTCAAGCAATCGAATGTTAGATGAAAGCAAGTTTGGGAGTCCCAAAACAACCTATTACAGCATGAAGGGGGGCCTAGATATGTTGACAGTGTCCATAGCAATTCACAAGGTGCCAAAAATTCGGCTTCCTCAATCAATAAACCTAAAACAACAGTAAAATCAATAAATCCACAAACACCTTTTACAACAATCAATGTACAGAACTGGTAAATACCTGAGAGCTATGAACTTCTGATTTGAGCTTGGACAGATTGGATTCTTGAATCATTTCACTCTACCAAGTCAGAAAACAAGGACACCCTATTAGCAGGTAAAATAACAGGAATAAAATTCAGCAAAAGCAACTAAAAAGACCATCTTCAACTCATATGAACCGCCTTGGCCTTGTATTAAACTAACAAAAGTGAATTTTGCATTGTAACAAAACATGAAAGAAGAAAAAAGACCTTACTTTCTGCATCTCAGCCTTGGAAACAACTGAAAGAGACACATTTTCCAAGCTGTCATTCAAAACTTCGGTTATGGCTGCTGTTATCGCCTCGGCTTGTTTGGAAGGCAGACCTTCCGCCTCCAATCTCCTAACCTAAGCATAATGCACCGTATCATGTCATCGCATTCTAAAAGTTAATCCAATAAGACTTAGAACCCACAATTCTCAAAACGAGATTAGCTTGTAATTACCAAAGCTAAGGTGTCGACGAGAAACAATCGCTTTCCATTAGATTTAACGAGCTGTGACATCTGCCTGCATCGTGAAAATGAAGCAGAGGAAGCTGACAATCGAATCCCCGAGGGAGGAAATGCCGCCGTATCAAGAGGGGACACCACGATCGGTGGAACAAATCCTCTAAATCTGGAAACTCCTCCTTTCATCCCCAAACTGGTTCCAATTTGACCCACGCGTTTACAAGCGGCCATTAAATTCGAAATGTATTCAGAAAAAAAGAGAAAAAACAATCAAATTTAAACCCTTACTCTTCCACCAATCTTTCTACAAATCTGAAGAGGAAAAATGAAAGCTTGGGTTAGTTTTAAGAACATTTGGTATGCATGAAACAAAGAGAGAGGAGAAAAGAAAGGAAAATAAGCACTACCTGCTTTGGGGGTAGAAAAGAAAATTGGAGACAAAAATGAGGCTGGATAAGCGATAGGATAGGATTTTGTCCAGCCAGAGAGTTAATTAATGGGCATTGCTTGCTGAATGGCCATGGGTAATTGCCGAATTGGGATGGGAAGCTAAGCCAGCTCTTCTCTCGGGAAATGGAGGGAGAGATTTCGCTGTTGCTTCTTCGCTGTTAATTTCGAAGGAAAGGAAATGTTTGACTTTCCAATACAAAATCAACGGTTCAAAATTAGTAAACAACAAAGAAAGGCTCGCAGCGTGCAATTTTCCATTTTCATTTTAACTTTCCCCACAGTGAAGAATTTTGTACGGTAAAAATGGCGGATGATGACTGCTTAAGAAACGTGTCGAGGGGTTTCCAACTCTTTGGGCTTGTTCCGCACCCTAAGCAAACATGAACTGATTGAACACTTGAGGAACCTCTTTCCCCTCATGATTGAAAAGAACCCTCGATTATTGTCCACAAGCAACATGAAGATAGACTCGTCTGGAAATGGAATTCAAAGTGAGAACAGAAAACCTCCGACTATACGTAACGATGCTTCTAAGTTATGGAGATTGCTACAGAGAACAGACACAAGTCTATTCCATCTTTTACTTTATCCATATCCTGTCCCAACATCTAAAGTGATTCTTGTAAACACAGATTAAAATTACTGACCATAAGGATGCTGAACAACAATGTAATATGGAATTGATATTGGCAGAATTTTGAATAGCTAAAAGCTTGTTCTATCATACAAAGAAGACTTTTGTGAACCCCCACTCTCCATGCAGGCTCGACAACATGATCAAAATAGATGACCCTATCCATACGGATCATAGCTAAGGATGAAACAAGTCTCTGTCTAACTCACAGTAAGACAGCTATTTGATTGAAAAAATAAAATGAAAAGATGCACGGAAGTGATTTAGTGAAGACCACAGATTCCGAATGAAGCCCATTACTGCTGGCTACTTGTCTTCAAATATTCGGGACAGATAGATCACTTAGGTCGCTTTCGGCACGGGAATAGAATATCATCTATGGTCTCTTTCATGTAGTTCCCCACTCTACGCATGTTCTTGGCTACCCCTGAGGCAACAAGGTTTGCGTTCCTTGTAAACCTGCATTCAGAGTATGATCGATTAGTCCATCATCAAGGTCCTGTTGTTGTAAAAAAAAAACAAGACAAAAAGGCAGACATCTATTAACAACTCAAATCATTTTACTTGCCTGTTCAGGAAGTCATCTCCTACAGCATGTGTGGGTTTGTGAGTTCGAGGTTGACGAATATCACAATCTTCAGAAGGTGCGCCGGAAAGTGAATAGATGAAGAATGAGGAAACAAGCGACAGGAAATGAGTTAATTCTGAAAGGCTAAACGATCCTTAACCTTCTGCATTGAGTTGTTGAAAGTTGATACTGATGATATCTGTGGTTGATGTAACCAAATTTTGGAGAGACAAATCATAACGTAATCACTACTCTTTGTAGATGCAACAAGGTGGTGTAACCATAGTTTAAGGCATTACAGGTTTATTGTAGTGGTGGGTGAGTAGTATCCAAGAAAGGACGAGCAGTAACAGGAGTGGAGGGTTTAAATGATGCCCAAGCTACATAGAGACATACAATTTCGATCTCTATTTAATTCAATCACACATTATATCAACAATGAGTGGAGAATTGCCAGTTCATTAGAAATAATACAAGAATTATAACAACCAAGCCATGCCAACATACAAAAAATTAATAAAATAGGTATTTCCTAGAGATCTTGACTAAAATGAAAGTCATGACTTAAAATGAACCTTGTTGAAAAATAATGAAATATAAGATTTCTTTACCTTCTCTGCTATGAACATGAGCAGAGGCTGAAGCAGTGCCAGCAGCAGGAGTTCTCCTATATGCCACAAACTGAAAAAATGAAACCACCGTCATGTCAGTTTGTAACAATCACACAACAATTAGAGCCAGAAACAACAAAAAGTTATATCCCAAGTGCACAGATAAACCATACTCCATTTGCACCGGTATTTCATGATTTCTGTAAATAACTGCCACAAACCCATTCTTCAAATCAAGTAAACACCATAAAACTTCAACCACCAACAAATACCAACCTGCATAGCAAATCAAAAACCGATTCTACTCTAATGCTTAAACAAGAAGGGGCAAGTGAATAATTTAACCTCAAAGCCGAGACAAGCAGGCAATTCAGGTTTATCCCCTTTCTCATCAACTGAACCTTCATTTCTGCTCATATACACGGAGTAACCAGCACAAGCATAGTAAAATTCCACAAGGCCACGCCTCTCCCTAGAAGGTTCAGCCTCAGATTGTCCAACAGCATAGCCCGTTACTGCTCCAAAATCCGCCAAACTATGAGTAAACATCAAAAATAAACTATATAACATGGGTTTTTTATTTTATCAGAAATTATTCGAATAATACATCAAGATCATTTTTTTCTTTTTTGCTAAGAAGAGGAAAGATAATTGGAAAAGTAAAGAAATTAGAGACCTTGAGGGAGAGAACGACGAATGCCGATGCAACGAGGGTTGAGATCTTGGGATTTGATAGTAGAAGAGAAATAAAGAAATCCTTTGCACGATTTTCCTTTTCGATTTTCGTTTTGGTTTTGCTTCTCCTCTTCTCCTTTCTCTTCTCTGCTCCTCTCCATTCTTTTTCGTTGTTTTCTGTCTACTCAGCATCGGCCATATTTACTCACAGTCGGGAAAGCAGAGAGCAAAACGTTCTTGTTGCCTCCGACGTCGTTTTAGAGCTCTTTAACTTCAGTTATAAGGCTTAAATAATGAATTCAAAAAAAAAAGGCCGTGTTGAGTTATGCAATTCTTAATTATATCCATTTGGCATTAATTAAAAAATACTGATAAATATTATTAAAATTAAATTGCTTAACACAATCTTTATTCAATGTTGCAAACACTCAAATGGTTTTCTTTTCGTTTTCAAAAGAGTGGACAAAGCAGGTGATCCTTTGGCACGGCAATGAGTGGACTCGCCCTGGGTGCGGTGAGGCCACTCACATCACTCATGTCAAGCTCGCCCGGTGACATTCCATCAGGCAACTCCCACGAAAAACAGTGAAGCAAATTAGCCACAGCCAAATCCAGCGCATATAACCGGAGTTGCATGCCCGGACACGACCTCCGACCAGACCCGAATGGCATGAACTCGAAGTTGCTACCTTTGAAGTCCCGGACGCCTTTTGTCAAGAACCTGAACGGCTTGAAACTGTCGGTCTTCCCACGAGTTCTTGTCCCTGCCAATGGCCCAGGCGTTGATCATCACGCGCGACTTGGCTGGGATTCTATTGCCTGCCACCTCAGCGTCCTCGGCCGTCTAGTGGAGCAACAGTGGAATTGGCGGGCGCAGCCGGAGGGTTTCTTTCAAGGTGCACTTTAGGAAGGTGAGTTTGTCGAAATCGGATTCTTCGACTCGGCGGTCCAGACCCACTACGTCCGCCAGCTCCTGTTGGACTCGCTTCAGATCCTCCGGGCTTCGCATCAGCTCCGTCAACGCCCACTCGATCGCTGATGCCACCGTCTCCGTCCCTCCGAACATCACGTCCTGCAAACAAAATTCAAATACAAACATTAAAAAAAAAAAATTAAGCGAAAATTTGCCAATAAAAAAATGTCAATATGTAAATTTGTTGGAGTCTGAAATTTATCTATAAATTGATGGAAATTACGCAAGTCCAATTTTTTATCCTAATTATAAACGTTTAAATTGCACAAAAAAATCAAGATTTATATATCTTTAGTGTATGAAAAGAGCACCAAAAACTTTATTTGTTGACAGATTATTTTCACAATCTGTCCTATTTATTATGAACTTTATTTTGTAGGGACGTGAAAATGGTTGGTATACAGATACAGTTCATAACCGTATATGTCCAAATTCATCAATTGATTTCAGATAAATATCAATATCAACATAAATACAAATGGTTCTTTTTTCTTAAAAAAAGAAGAAAATTTTGCATTCAAATTCGAATCCTAAAACGATAAATGGAACGTTGCCATGTTTTGATGGTGTGGTGGAATTAAAGTCTATGTGAAGAAAGGAACATACCATGATAATGGCTTTGATGTTGTCCTTGGTGAGTTTGATGGAATTTTGGAGGTCCTCTGATTCGTTTACTTTGGCTTCTTCAGTGTAGAAAGCAAGTAAATCATCAACCATGTCCGTGTCACCTTCATCACGGCCGTTGTTTTGCTTCCTCTTCTGAATGTGATCGTCGATGATGGTGTCAATGAACTTGTCCAATGAATAACGAGCGTTCTCCATCCTGGTGTTGAGTCCTTGAGGATCAGCCCAACCGAGCCAAGGAATGAAATCCGCAATATTGAAAGCACCAAAAAGCTTGGAGAACTCCTGCAAGATCTTGATGAAATCCTCTTGGCCTTCTTGCGAGCTAGAACCGAACGCTGCCCTGTAAGTAATGTTCTTTGTGAGGTTAAAGATCAACTCACCCACATTGATTGCCTTCCCGGTGTTGGCTGAAACAGTTTTAACGAGACTCTCCACTTCGTCTCTAACGGACTCCCATGATTCAGCTCTTTTCCTGCTAAAAAGCTTCATCACGCAGAGCTTGCGCATCTGTCTCCAGAAAGGTCCGTAATGAGCAAAAGCCATGTCCGCCCTGTCATACGTAAGATAGCTGATGGCTATGGTGGCTGGCCTGTTAGAAAAAATGTTATCCTGAACCTGGAGAACCTGGCGAGCCATTTCAGGATTAGATATAGCAACCATGTGCAAGAACCCCATCTTGAGGTGAAATATGCCGCCATATTTCTGAGCAAGCCTCGCGAGTCCACGGTGAGTTAACTGGTCCATCATCATCATGTTTCCGATGATTGGCAACCCTTT